TCTCACAGTCAGGACAGGCTGTTATGCTGCAGGAAAGTAAGCACCACCAGGGCCGGCGCTGCGGCACAGCAGGTAGCCCATATGGACGCCAGTTCGAGTCCCAGCTCTTCCACTTCCCATCCAGTTCCCAGCTAATGCACCTGGGAAAGCAGTGGAAGATGGGCCAAGTCTTAGAGCCCCTGCACCCACGTGGGAGACCCAGAGGAAGCTCCTGGCTTCCGATCAGCTCGTCTTTGGCTGTTGCAGCCACTCGGGGAGTGAACCAGTGATCTTTCTCTGTTTCTCTTCCCCATCCTCTGTAACTCTGCCTTTTAAATAAATACATCTCAGGGGTGCCCCCTGTAAGGTTCAATGTTTGCTCAGGACACTGAGCAGGTTGGTGGCTGGGGGAGGAGGGGAGGGAGGAGGGATGGGGAGGCTCCTTGCCTGGGGTCTCAGCAGGGGCTGAGGCGGAGGGATGCCGACCTGGGCCAACCGCCTGCGCAGGGGCTCGGTCCCAGCCTGCAGCTTCCCCCATGACTTCTGCTCACGTTCACTGCCCCAGGACCCTGACCGAACCCCAGGAAGGAAGGGCGCCCGGACACGGAGGCACCCGTGTTTGAGCCAGCACGTCCAACTCCAGGAAGTCGTCCTCAGTACATACCTCCCACCATGTCCTCGAGGCCACGACGGTAACAAAGTGGTAACAGGCTAAGCAGCCGCGGTGCCACCTCACACAGAGGCTAAAACAGCTGTCATCACTTACTTAGTGATGGAGAAAGACACAATGTGCGAAGCGGAAAAAGCTACGCCAAGGCAGATCCAAAACACGGATCTGTTTTACGGAAAAAGAAATAAAACGAATACAGATGCAGAAAAAAAGCTGAACATATCTTGCAACGTGTAGACAGTGGTTATAATCAGACTACGGTATGACGACAACAGATTTTTTTTTCACTCATCTGTAGTTTTCTTCTAAAAAAAAAGTATATACTATTTAGGTACTAAAAAAGCATAAAAAAAGAGAAACCCAGCACTCTTGGGAGAAGTCTCCTCATCCACCCTATACTTATCATTACGCTCTTAACATCTGATGCAGGAGATAGCTTGCCCGTGACACCAAAGGACACAGCTGCCCCAGCTGAGCCAGAGTCAGACTTGCTGTGAAGGGCGGGACAGGAGGACAGAAACGGGTCCACGTCCCGCTACTGTCCATCCCCGGCCAGGACGCTCCGCCGCTGGACCGGGCCGCGGTGAGTGTGTGCTCCCGGGCAGGTGCACACACGGGGTCCCCACGGCCACGCTCTGCGCCGCTGGCAACCACCATGAGACAGAAGCCCCACAGCCTCGCCTTGCCAACGGATTCCAGAACGGGATTGGCAAAGAAAACTCCTCTGAGGTGCACTTATGAAAATTTGTCGTTATTTTTTTTCGCCTGCTTCTGCTGGCTGTCCCCCCACTCCCACCCTCACCCCCGTGCGTGCACATGCGTGCACCCCCACACACAGTCCTATGTTCACTGGAACTCTTTATCAAGTTCAAAATGCGTACCACAGTCACCTTGTGGCCCCGGGCCGTGTTTAGAGAGCGGAACTGGAAACCCAAGGTCTTGTGTGGAGAAAGCGCCAGGAGCCTGTCACCCGCAAGCCCGCCCCAGCCCACACACGATTTCTCGGGGGAAGCCACACACATCCTTTCGCAAACATGCATGGGCACTGATAGGCACGTGCCCAGTTTCTGTGGCAAATGCTTCAAGCCCAGCGACACGGTTCAAGGGAATACCAATGACAGCAACGCCCTACTTCCGCTTCCGGTCATCAGCAGGGCGGGGCTTAGGCTACGTCACTCAAGCTCTGGGGGTGTCCCTGGCTGCATGTGGAGGCCCCACCAGGCTCCTTGTGCAGGTCTGTGCTGCACACAACTGGGGTCACCTTCCCGCGGGAAAGATCCCTGCAGACCGGAATGGCTGGGAAACGGGACCTGGTATAATTCCCATTCACTCAGGGTGGACACATGCAAAAGCCGTGTTAACTGCAGTGGGCACTGTGTCCTTATCGGGACACGGGGGGCTTTTTTCTCTTTGTACCCAAGGGTCACTAAAGAGAGAACAGCGCTATGGTTCATAAAGAGGCTTGGACACGTGCCTGTCTCTGGGTTCACTTCCTGTCTGCATAACCTGTGCCCGGCTCTCTCCCCGATTCCGGTCTAAAGTGACAGCAGGCGGGACAGAGACTGTGGCCCGGGGTGTGGCTTGCTTGCCATTCAAGGCCTGACACCGTCCCCCTGCCGGGCGCCCTGGTGGCTTCACCTTTCCTGGGCCCCAGGAGACGTCCACTCACCACCCCCAGCTCGGTCATGCAGCCAGTCGGGTCTGGGCTGGAATGAGAAGCTGGGTCCTCGGGGGTCATCCTGGTTGAAGTTTTCCTAGGCTTCCTTTAGACCTGCATTTCATGCAGGCAGAAAGGAGACCGATCAAGGTATAGACACCAGTCTCAGAGATGTCAAAACCAGGAGCCAGTTTTGGGCAGGCGTTTGGCCCAGCGGATAAGATGCTGGTCAAGACGCCCGTGTTGCACTTTGGGGTGCCCAAGGTTCGATTCCCAGCTCCGGCTCCTGATTCTAGCTAGCTTCCTGCTGATGTAGACCCAGGGAGCAGGCAGCAGTGATGGCTCAAGTAATGGGGTTCCTGTCACCACGTGGGAGACCTGGATTGAGTTCCCAGCTCCTGGCTCTGGTCTGCTAGCCCCAGCCTTCCTGGGCATCGGGGAGAGGGCCAATAGATGGGAGCTCTAACTGTCTCTCTAATAAATACATAAATAAATAGGGGTCGGCGCTGTGGTATAGTGGGCTAAACCTCCGCTTGTAGCGCTGGAATCTCATGTAGGCGCCGGTTCTAATCCCAGCTGCTCCTCTTCCAATCCAGCTCTCTACTATGGCCTGGGAAAGCAGTAGAAGATGGCCCAAGTCCTCGGGCCCCTGCACCTGCTTGGGGGACCTGGAAGGAGCTCCTGGCTCCTGGCTTTGACCTGGCCCAGCTCTGGCCATTTGGGGAGCAAACCAGCGATGGAAGATGTCTCTCTCTGTCTCTCCCTCTCTCTATAACTCTGCCTATCAAATAAATAAATAAATAAATCTTTAAAATAAATACATACATTTCAAAACCCTCAAATAAGTAAACGATACAACCGGGAGACCTCATTTGGAGACTGCCAGTGCAGGCTTGACGTTTCCCACGTCGCACCGTGTGGCCGTGGCAGCCACAGGGACAGGCTGACGACCTGCTGGCACCGGGCACGGGGCCCTGCCAACGGCACCGAGCCCGAGCTGGACGTTACGACAAACGAGGGCAGCTTACCCCGGCTCAAGGGACGGGCGGGATGGACTGAGCGGATCAATCTCACGGCGTCAAGTCCACCCTGCCCCGTGCCGGAGGTGGAGTAGCCGCTGCTGACGGCACAGCCACTGTTCTTTATACAAGACAGTAGGTGAGGGAGCACTAAGAGTTTCAGAGAAGCGCAGAAGGAACCGGAAGTGCAGGGCTGTCATCAAGCTGAACTTCCACTGTGGACCCCAACTTACCTTTCCCTGTCCGGAGGCCCCTCTGGCGGGGCCCAGCCCTCCCGCAGCCCCTCCCAGCACAGCTTCGGGAACACAGCCACCCTCCCAAGACTACGGCACCTGAGCAAGCCCCAGGCGGTCAGAAGGGTCCCTACAGATGAGCTGGCAATTAGCAGGGGACCCGAGTCGACAGCATCTGCGATCCCAGCGTCCTTGGCTCCTGGGCAGTTGCAGGCCTGTCTCCCCCAGTGGCTGACCAGCTACCCTTGACCCCGTGGCGGGGCCCTAGGCCAGCTCATGGCCAGCTCAGCTCTCCACTCTCCTGGCACAGCCAGCTGGGAGATGCCACCAAAGTCTCCAGAGCCCTCGGGAGCTCTGTGGGAGGTGCCAGGCCAGCAGCACCCGAGCCAGGCTCTCCAAGGACTGAGCCCACTTTCATTTCCTTGTGCGTGAGCCCATGGTGTGGGGGGGTCTCCCCTAAAGTGCCTGGGCGCTGGGAACCACCTGCCCCCACTCCTTTCCCATCACAGACAGGACTCATTCCTGCTCCGAGGCAGTCTCAGCTGGGCACAGGGGGCCGCAGGATGGGGCGCTCACCTGGGGGCCTGCCTCCCATCTGTCTGTCCGTCTGGCTACTGGCTCAGGAACCCAAAGCTGGCGAGAGGAATCCCACCCCTTGTAGAAGAAGAATCGGCAACAGGGATGGGGAACTTTTTTTTTTCCCGCCAAGGGCCTTTTGGATCTTTATGACATCATCAGTGGACCACACAGAGTTATCGACTTAATCAACAGCCTGTAGTTGATTGATGGAATTTTAAGCTCCTGCCTGTGGTTGCCTTGGCAGGGCCAGACCAAGTGATGGGGGTGGGGAGGTAGGGTGAGGGCTGGAGTTCCCCACCCCTGGTCTACAGAGAGAGGTTCTCTCGGGTGGGTCTGAGCGTCTCAGGGGTCAAGGTCCTCCCCGCTCAAGGCATTTACAAATGCGTGAGGCCCCCAGACTCAAAACATCTCGTGGTCACAACCTCTCCCCGTGCAGGCTGCCCACCACACTGCTCTGTGAGACAGGAGGGGTTGGTGGCTCAGCGGGAACTGAGAAAGTCAAGGGCAGCCCTGGGCCTGTCGCTGAGGCCAGGGCTTGAAGCCGAGAGCATACCCCTCATTGTGGACCCGTGCGACTCCCTCTCAGCTGTTCAAACCCATCCTAGGACCCCGCTATAGACCCCAAGTCCTGGGCAGCCAGGGGTCCCAATATGCTCAGGCCAGGAGAGCAAGGTGGTCCCAGCATCACGGATGGGTTCTGGGAGGGGGACTTCCATCAGCCCCTTGCTGATCCCCCTGCCCCCTCCCAGGGGCCCAGAGCCAGCCTTGGTTTGACCACTTAGTCACGCTGGATAACTACTCGTCTTGTGGACCGTACAGTAAGGGACCTGGCCTCTGCCGTGGGGTTTCATTAAAACACTAAATTCTGTTTATCTGTTTAATTGAACAAATATTTATTAAGCACCTACGTGGAGCCAGGCATGGGGCCAGGCAGCCTCACTGAGTGCTGCTCCCACAGCACAGCATCTGCTCAGTTAAAACGAAGAGAAGAAACATTGTCGCAACCACGCAAACTGGGGCGCAAGGTGGCCCGGGGTGGCGGGGGTGCAGGCGACCCCCATGCCCACAGATGCACCTGCCAGAAACTCATTTTCTTGCTCTGGCTTCCAGTCTCTGCTGGAAACTTGTCTGAGAGGCAAGAGGTGTCCTCTGGGCGCCCGGGGACGGGGAGCCTGGCGGACACCCACACCCTCTGAACGCTACTCAGTTAACAGGGGCAAAACGGCCTGGCGCCGAGGCTTACCGGTCATCGGATTACAAAACAAGGTTTTCGGTTCGTATGGTTGCAACAGCCCTTAGAAAAGATAGAAACACCCCTACCCTGACTGCGTAGACGTGTAAGGTAGACCTAGTTCTGGTTCCTGAGTCAGAATCTTCCAGCTGTCCGCAACCTCACAAGGCCAGAGAAGCGAGAGGAGACTTCTATCCTGCAGAGGAGCGAGTGGACGGCACAGCCGGCGTGGAAACACGACCCCACCCCCACGCCCAGGACGCCGGCCCGGCCCTACTTGCTCTCCCGCGCACACACGCGCGCGCACCGCACTGCACCGCACCACACTGGGGATGCACGGGCGGGTGGGCGGGCGGCCCTAGTTGTCCGTGCCCAGCTTGGACAGGCCCCTGCGGAAGTCGTGTAGGTCGTCTATCTTGCCGTCCAACACCTCCAGGAAGCTCTTCAACTCCACCTTAAGGTGGCGCTGCCGGTACTTGCTCTCCTCAATGTCTGTCTTCAGGGACCGCACTTTGTCCTCCAGGTTCTGGTTGTCTCTCTCGGCCGCCTAGCGGAACAGAAGGGAGAAGGGTCTGGAAGGGTCTGGACGGGAGCCGTCGGTCTGCTGAAACCTGCTACTGCTCTCAGACTCGCGGGCCTGGGCCGGGCTCCATGGCACCGCCCTGGAGCGGCACGTGTGTGCCCTCCCCTCCTGGCAGAGGGGCCGGCAGGCCAAGGGGGCTCTGACACTCTGCCTGAGAACCAAGCCCCGACGCCAGACATGGCCTGTTCAGAGTCCAGCCTGAGAGACCTCACCGTGCAGGGACCTGACAGCCGGCACGCAGAGTGACCCTGCAGCCCCTCTCTGAGAGAGAGGCACAGAACTCAGGGACACGGTGGCCATGGAGCTGAGCCCCCCCGCCCCGGGAAGCCATCCATGAACTCCCCAAGGCAGGATGGCTGCGAGTCCCTCCCAACAGGGACTGTTTGGGACACAGGCACTCAGGGAGAGCCTGGAAACCCTCATTAGTGGGTCAGCAATGTGAGGTCAGCGGGGGAGGCCTGCCCAAGGCCAGTGCCGCCCAGGGGCACCTGCTACGGAGCGGCTGAGGTGGGCTTGCTCCCAGCCCTTCTCCACTCCACTGTGGTTCTGGAGGGGCTTTGGTGAGCGGGAAGTCAGTTGCCCACCCTATGCTTATGCACAAGACCTGAAAAATCCAAAAGAGAGACGCAGCCAGGCCGGCCCCAGGGGCCAGGGATGGCGAAGAGTGGTGGCACCTGGCAGGCAGCTGCCGTGGGCCTCTTAGGAACGGAAGCTCGCAAGGTGGCGGTGGGAGGGAGCAGAGGACTCCGCCTCCCCCTCGGAGCCAGGACAGACGGCGCCCACTCACCTCCAACTTCTCCGAGACATAGTCACACTCCGACATGAGCTGCGGGATGATTTCGCTTTGTTTCCGGAGATCTTTCAACTCCTACGGGAGACAGGCATTGGAAGCAGACGTCAGTCAAGGCACAAGTGAGATGCGGGCTTGCCAACCGCGCTGGCTCTCGGAACCTGCGCCGTCTGCGCGTCAGTGACAGCAGTGACCCTGCTGACCGGACCCATTTCCATTTCCATGAACTTGATAACCACAAGGAGGCCTCTGCTCTGGTGCTGGCGCCGTGCGTGGTGTGGCTGTCACCCACCCGGGCGTCCAGGCGGCTGCGGGGTGGACGTGTGCCCCAGGCTCCCTGCAGTGGAGACCCCAGCGCCCCCGCCTCCACCACCCCAGGGAGGCGGTCACTCACCGTCTCCTTCTCCCGCAGCTCGGTCTCCAGCTCCTCGATCCTGCTCCTCAGCTCCGTGTTTTTCTCCCGCTCCTTGTTGATCTCACTGCACTGTTCCTGCAACTCCTCCAGCTTGGACAAACAGCGCGCATCAGAGCCGGCCGCCGGGCCACGGCAGCCGCCCGCCAACGCGGCCACCAGGGCTGGGGCCGGCCTTCCCGCAGACCACACACGGACACGCTCACACACTGCCCTCTGTGGCCGGGAACCCTGGACGCGGGGCGGGGGGGGGGGGGGGGGGGGGGGGGGGGGTCTGCTCGCACCCTGGGGCGCCCTCCCTGGCCACGGAGGGGAGCAGCGTCAGGTCTGCCGAGCAGGGGCCAGATGTCTCCGGCACGCATCTCGTCTCCCCAGAACGCTGCGAGTGATTGATTCTGTTTCATCTCAGAGTTCACAGCACAGGGGACAGGATGACATTTGAGATGCTGGACTCTCAAGGGGCCCCCTTCCTCCCCGAGACAGACCCCTCACAAGGGGCTCCCACGGGGGAATGAGAATACAGAGAGGCGCGAGGAGGCCCCCGCCAGCACTGCCGTCAGCCGTGAGCCTCTCCGGGGGGAGACAGACAGGATGTGTGTGCAGAGCGCACGGCGGGAGGGACCACTGGGAAAGATAAAAGCCCCCACGCACAGCCCTCGACGTGAGGGTGCAGAGCAGCTGCGCCCACCTCAGGGTCTGGACCCCCGCCCAGAGCGGCTGCACCTTCACCAACTCCCACCTGCAGCCCCCCGGAAGCCCACACTCCCCCAAGGGAGCCAGTTTGGGGGATGCTCCCCTACTGTGTTTGGTTCTCATGCTCAGCCCAAAGCCGGCGACTCAGCTCTCGGCTTGAGGAAAGAAAGGGCAATTGGTCCCTTGGGCAGGCGGCTGTGCCAGGCCAGGGGCGGGATGCAGTGGAGTCAGCCGTGTGCCCGGGGCCCTGACTGGCTTTAAGACAGGGAAAATGCCACAAGGCAGTGCCCCGTGTCACAGGCACGAAAGAAGACAGCAAGAAAGAAACCAGGGATGACGGGGGTCGGAGTGGGCGACACCAACCATCCTGACCGCCACGGGTCCCCTGAAGCCACGGAGCAGCTTCCGGGACCCTGAGGGGCAGGAGCAGCCTCAACCGGGGAGTCTCTGGCCCCCTGAACTGCCTCAGCCACCCCGCAGGGCCTCACAGGAGGAGGCAGACTGGCCCCAGGACTGGGTGGGAGAGGAAGGGCACAGGGCAGCGGTCAGAGCTCACGCAAGCCCCACGTTCCTTTTCTTGCCTCCAAATCTACACCCCTAGACACGCTGATGTGAACGGGGCAGGCTTTCTGGGCAAACACTTGCCATCTCCCAAGTCCAGCAGGGGATTTGGACAAGTCTGTGGGAACTGTGTGTTAGGAGAACACTGCACATGGACTGCAAAAATCTTTGTACCAAAATACACTTATCTTTTCATTCCACTTTTTGCAAACTTTTTGGAGTCTTTGTATTTTCTCCCCAACCCTCGGGGGTCCCTGTCCCATTGAAGACACCTGTGTCCCACATCAGAGTGCCTGGGTTCGAGCCCCAGCTCCAGTCCCTGACTCCAGCCAATGCAGACACTGGGAGGCAGTGGGGGTGACTCAAGACGTTGGGTTCCTGCCATCCATGTGGGAGACCTGGAGGGAGTGCCTAGCTCTCTGCTCTGGCCTTAGTCTAACCCTGGTCACTGCAGGCATTTGGGGAGTGAACCAGCAGATGGGAGCTTTCTCTCTCTCTCAAACCCCCAAATAAATTTTTAAAAACCCAACCACTTAGGTCAGTAGAAGTAATACATCAGGGATATCCATGGTTAAACTCCTCCTAAGACAGGGAGACGGAGAATGACAGAAGGGGAGAGGCAGCAAGTCTTCCTCCTGTCCGCAGGGATGGGGGACAGGAGACAAAGGCCCAGGGTGGCCCCAGCTCCACTGCTGTTATGGCTGGCTTTGGGGCCCTTCCTCCCGCTGCCTGCTGTCCCCCGTGGCCGCCTGGGGTCCCCGCAGCCCACCTTGGCGCGGAGCCGGTCATTCTCATCACGGCAGATGGAGAACTGCCTCTTCCACTGCTCCACGCTGGCCGCCGACTCCTGCAGCGCCGTGGTCAGCCGCGCGTTGCTCTCCCGCAGGGTCTGCAGCTCCATCTCCCATTTCTTCACGTTGGCGGCGCTGCGTGCAGGGGGCAGGTGGGGGACCGGGATGGTGGGTGTGGGCCGCCCTGCTGTGCCATCAGGCCACCTGCAGCCCGCCCTGGGGGCACCCCTTCCCTCCCCCACCCCACTGACTGGTGGGCCTGCTGCATGGACTGAGCCCTAGGGGACTGGCACCGCGCCAGCGGGACCACATCACGGCACTGGGCATTGTTCTTAAATAAGTGCCTCCTGCCCCATCGACCGCCGGCCATGGGACCCTCCCACCCTGTTCTTTCCTGACCTGAGCTTCAAGCACAGAGGCCCTGAATGGCTGGGTGACTGCAGCCTCTGAGAATCAGTAGCAGCCACGGACAGCTCTCCGGAGCCAGGAAGCCTTCCCATGATCCCTTGCGCTAACTTGTGTGTCCTTGTCCCCACCTCAGAGCCTTTATGAATCCTGGTTTGAGGGCTTGGGGACACAGGAGACAGTGACCAGTGATGGGGGTTAGATCCGCCGGGGGCAGAACGGGGGTTCTGGCCGCGGTGCGTGGGAGCCTGGCTGACCCATGCTACGCCAGACTCAGCGTTGATGTCACCACAAAGGTCTTGGGTCTTTGATTCTGAGGTCTGTGAGGAAGAAATCAAAACCCTACCAGCCACCAGTTCCCTGCCAGCCCTCCTTCAGTCTCCTGGCTTTGGGCCCAAAAAGCTGGTGGAAAACAGTTATTACGGGTGCTGGTTCGAGTCCCGGCTGGATCACTTCTGATCCAGCTCCCTGCTAATGCACCTGGGAAAGCAGTGGAAGATGGCCCAAGTGCTTGGGCCCCTGTATCTGCGTGGGAGACCCAGAAGAAACTCCTGGCTCCTGGCTTCGGATCATCCCAGCTCTGGCTGTTATGGCCATTTGGGGAGTGAACCAGCAGATGGAAGCTCTCTCTCTCTGTAACTCTGCCTTTCAAATAAATAAACCTTAAAAAAAAAAAGCTATTAGAAAAACCACTATGCTTGCATCTCAACAACTGTTTTGCACCAAAATCAATTTTTTTAAATTCCCTTTTTTCCATGAACTTTTGCCAAGCGTCCACAAATAAGCAGCGCTGGTTGTTACTTGAGGTGACAAGACAGAGCTGCACAGGACAAACGCATTGGGCTTCTGCCTGGCTGTGGGGAGCCTATTTCCTAAAGGCTCTTACATTTTTTTGAGTCAGTGCAATAGTGCCTGAACAAACTGTTATCTTTCATGTCACAACCTTACAAGGGTGCAGGAATGGGGCTGGCCAAAAAGAAAAAAAAAAAAAGAAAAGAAAAGAAAAAAAAGCCTTCCGTTCCAAACACTACGGAGTGAAACAAAATAGCAGAATGCTATTATGGGAGGAATTTCAGAGCTGATCACTGGGGACTTGAGCTGATTTAGGGAAACAGCCTCACGTCCACCCCTGTAATTCAGTTGCTCATTAAAGGCGGATTGGAAGACATTTTATTTTTAGGGGTGAAATATTTTCATCCGAGCGGCTCCGTCTAACTCTAAACATCCAAAAATAGACCTCGCCTGCTGAAGACGAGAGGGGTCACAGCTTTGTCCTCTGCAGTGCACCTGACAGAGACACGCAGTCCACAGTGCAGGCCCGCTGACTGGGGGAGGTGGCGTCCACCCTGCGCTGGCGCCAGCTTTGGAAAGTGAGAACAAATGGCAAGTGCAGCTTGAGCCTGGGACTCAGTTTCCTGGTCTGTGAAATGGGGCCATTTCATTTCAACATGTTGGCTCCTGTTGCAGTCTGAACGCTGTGTCCGGTCCCAGTGCCTCCAGGGAAACCCCACTCTGCAAGGTGATGGGCTCAGAAGGGGGTCTTGGGGGGGGGGCGGGGATTAGAATTGGATGAAGTCCTTATGAATGGGATTAATGTCTTCAGAGGTGTCCCTAGAGGGCTGGGTCTCTGTCCCCAGCGCATGAGGTCACAGTGAGGAGACTGTGGTCCACGAACCAGGACACGCCCTCGCCTGCTGCCTGGATCCGGGACCTGAGCCTGCAGGAGTGAGGACTAAGGGCAGGCTGTTTTAGTCCCTCAGCCTGCTCTGTGCCTGCAGCTGGGCCAGCTGAGTGATTTTTAATTTTTATTTATTTATTTTTTGACAGGCAGAGTGGACAGTGAGAGAGAGAGACAGAGAGAAAGGTCTTCCTTTTGCCGTTGGTTCACCCTCCAATGGCTGCCGCGGCCGGCGCACCGCGCTGATCCGAAGGCAGGAGCCAGGCGCTTCTCCTGGTCTCCCATGGGGTGCAGGGCCCAAGCACTTGGGCCATCCTCCACTGCACTCCCGGGCCACAGCAGAGAGCTGGCCTGGAAGAGGGGCAACCGGGACAGAATCTGGCGCCCCGACCGGGACTAGAACCCGGTGTGCTGGCGCCGCTAGGCCGAGGATTAGCCTAGTGAGCCGCGGCGCCAGCCACCGGCTGAGTGATGTGTCTCCACAGCAGGAAGCGGAGGCGGTCAGCTCCTCCGCTGGAGAGAGCAGGGCGAGCCGGCCACACCAAGGCCAGCCCGGCGTCCGGGGGAGGGCCGCGTTCTCCTGGCACAGACGCACGAGCGCCGTGGGTGTGGTGCCGCCCGCAGCAGGACGGGCGGGCGTGGTATTTCATCCATGAAGCCTGGCGGTAGGACGGCTCCGTTTGCTAAACGACTGCACTGGGGTCCCCGACGCCCTCCCCGAGTTGGTCCCACACAGGGCGCTCAGGCGGTGCCGCTGAATTCATTCCTGGGCATCTCGTGCGCCATCTTCTTCAACCACACACCCGACCTGAGGCTTTTGCTATATAAAAAAGCTGGCGATTTTGTGTGATCTCCCATCATTTCTTGGGTTTTGCGATGCCCTCCTTGGGTGTGTGGGACCCCATCTTTATCCTACGCGAGTCGATGATGGATTCAGCTCCTTAGACACCAAAGTGGAAGCAAAAGGAGGTACCACAGGCCGGCGCCGCGGCTCACTAGGCTAATCCTCCGCCTTGCGGCGCCGGCACACCGGGTTCTAGTCCCGGTCGGGGCGCCGGATTCTGTCCCGGTTGCCCCTCTTCCAGGCCAGCTTTCTGCTGTGGCCAGGGAGTGCAGTGGAGGATGGCCCAAGTGCTTGGGCCCTGCACCCCATGGGAGACCAGGAGAAGCACCTGGCTCCTGGCTCCTGCCATCGGATCAGCGCGGTGTGCCGGCGCGCAGCGCGCTCTACGCCGGCGCCCATTGGAGGGTGAACCAACGAGACATACACTCGTTCTACGCCTCTCTTTCTCTCTCTCTCTCTCTCTCTCTCAC